TTCGGTAACAGACAGCCATCAATAGTTCTCAAATAAGGCAAGAAAATCATGAAATCAGTATTTGAGCGAGAGTTTTCTTTGGGAGTAATATGCAGGGTGGATTATAGAAGGGGATTAAATACAGTTAGGAAACAAGTGCAGTAATTCAGGCATGAGATACCGAGAGCTAATGGTAGAATGGGAGCAGAGGTTATGAAGGGGAGGAGATGGATCTAAAACAACGCTAAAGAATTGACTGGACTGGTTGCCTGACAGGGTGTGAAATACGAAAAAATGTTAGGGTCAAGTATTCTTCTAAAGCCCAGAAGACTAGTTAGTTTTGCTACTCACAGAAAGCATCAAGAGAAACTGAAGTAAAATATGAGTTTAATTTTAGACATGGGTTATAGGTGATGATAGGACAGACAAGTCAAAATGAACTTTAGGAGTGTGATTGAAAAATTGAGACTGCAAAATAACAGATTTTGGTCAAATCAACATAAAGGGTGATGGATAAAGCCATTAGGCAGAACAACCTCCAAAAGAGAAAGCATTTAGAAAAGAAACAGCAGAAACCAACTCATAATTAAGAGGAGTAAATGAAGGAAAGATAAAGGTTCAAGGGAAGAAGAAAATTTTGGTAGTGCTATTTCATGACAGCAACATTCCAGCCAGAACCAAAGCCTAATGGTTAAATCCCTAAATATCTCTGGTTGGGAACTTCCTTTCCATCATGACCTAGTGGTTAGTATCATGGTTAAGAGTGCATCGTCTGCAATCAGCTGGCCTGGGTTAAACCCTCTGGCATCGTTACTTATTAGTTGTGTGACTCTGAGCAAGGTACCCAACCTCTCTATGCCTGTTTCCTCATCTATAAAATTAAGAGATAAAACTTTCTCAAGCGGTTACGGTGAGCATTCAATAGAATCATGCATGAAAACAGCCAAATTTAGCACCTCTTCAGCACTCAGTGTCAGCTGGTCTCCTCGGCTGCCTTATCTAAGCACCTCATGATTTCTCTCCTGATGACTCTACACAGCTTCCTAATTGATTTTCTACCTCAGCCTCTCCCCATTCCAGGTTATCATGCCTCCATGTGAAAACCATTTGGTTTCCTAATTCTATAGGATGAAGGCTAAATACTTTCAAATAGAACCCAAGGCTCTTCATCATCTGGCCATTTCCAACCTTTTCTTCTTCTGTTCATCCCCACATCCAGAGGCTCCATCACATGGAATTTCCTGATGATCCTGAGAGTGCCATAATATTACACTTCTGTTTCTCTGCAAGCTGTTCTTTCTAGAGACTTTTCTCCTCTGTGTCTGTCAAACTTTTACTCATCAAGGTTTGGGTCCAGTAAAGATATTTTGTATAAGAAGGTTGTCATACTAGGTATTGTGGTTGCCTTGTCAATAGCTATTTCAGTCTTCCCCCCATTATGCAGATGCCATGCAGACTGATGGGATGGACCCCACTCCTGGCTCTAATTAGAGCCTGATGGGTTCAGGGCTGTCTGACCATGGTGCCTATTTCAGCAACAGGAACTTGATCTAAAAAGATCCAATCAGAGTGAAGCTTTTGTAGCTTTCTAGTATATCTTGATATTTGGGAGTGTCAATCATCTAACTTTGTTCTTCAAGATTGCCTTCAAGAAGGCATAGAGAATTCTTTACACTTCCAGGTATGTTTTAGTGTCAACTCACAAATTTCCAGAAAAAAATTGCTGAGATTTTAATTGGGATTGAATTGAATTTATGGATTAATTTGGGAAGTGGTCTTCTTTCTGGTTCTCTACCACACAATGCTCATATTCGATTTAGGGTCTTTGCACTAGTTATTCTCTTGGCCCAGAATATTAGTGTGCCTGTAAAATATCACTGTCTCCCAATTTTTCACTCCCTTTTTTCCTTTCAATTTCACAAATCTTGATTTTTCAAGATAACACCATGCACAAATTTATCTCATAATAGTTCTTGAAGCATCTCTGACTAAAGTTATAGTTATTATAAGTGCTTTTTATATATTAACTCATTTAATCTTCATAGCAATCCTATGAGATTAGTATTATTATTATTACCATTTTACGTATAAAGAAACTGAGACATGGAGAAGTTAACTTGGCTTAATCACGTAGCTAATACATGGAACAACTGGGATTCTTTCATTTGCTATCCTAGAGTGTCTCTCAGAGAGGGTGTGTGTGTGTGTGTTTTGTGTGTGTGTGTGTGTGTGTGTTTGTGTGTAATAGAGCCAAATGTAATATTTCATAACCCACTTTTTTCACTTTTTTGTTGTGGTAAAAAACACATAACAAAATTACCATCTTAACCATTTCTAATCGTACAGTTCGGTACTGTTAAGTGTATTCACACTGTTGTGCAATAGATCCCTAAAACTTTTTCATATTGCAACACTGAATTTCTATAACCAGCTTTTTACTTTTAACGTTAACAAATATAAGTTTCCAGAATCACATCTGAAAGCTGCTTTTTGGACATTATATGCCTAAACCAAAATTTATTAAATCAATCCATTTTGTTGAACATTCTGTTTTCAATTTCTCTTTATAAACAATTCTATGATTAACATTCTTAGAATCTATCTTTAAACACTTGTTCAATTATATCCTTAAAGATAAATTTCTAGAAGTAGAAATGCTGTGTCAAAGGCATGCACTTGTTTTAGGACTTTTAATATGTAATGCAAATGTTATGCTCTTCTCTGCCTATATCCCTCATTTTATCTTGCACCTGCCCCTTTTAAGTGACCCAGCTACTCACACACACATATTTAGCATTCTGACCTTTTATGTCTCATTTTCCTCTCCTCTTGATTATCTAGCAACCAATCCTTCTCTCCCTTTCTCCCTTTGGTTTTGTATCTCAGCTCCTGGAACTCACACTGTGGTTGCCCCTGGCATGCATGATTTTTACTTTTTATTCAGGATGTCAAAATGCCTTCCTCTAGCCCAGGCTATGGGAAATATACCCCCTCATATTTCCATGCTTATGAATGTGCCCCCCTTCATTTCCTCTGCCTAGAATGCTCTGCTCCCCTAGTCAACAGGTGAATTCCTATCCTGCCTTTAGAAATCACCTCAGGCATTCCCTCCTCCTGAAAGCTAGCCTCTCCATGGTCCCCTCCCAACCTCCCACCAAGCCTTAGAGAGTTATTTCTCCCTCTGTGCCCACCAGCATCTTGATCTTACCTCTATCATAGCACTTATTATATTTATATAATGCAACAGCAAACAGGCACAGCCCAATAAAACATTGGATTGTACTTAAAGAAGGTGGTTCCAGATGACTTGGTGAAATAATGAAGGCCTCTAAAGGAAGCCTAGCAAAAATAAAAGCCACGGGGAAAGAAGTTTCTGCTCAATATGACTAATTTTAAATGTGATTCCACCTGACCTTAGATTTCCTCCTTTAGCCATGATCCTGATATTTGCCCTATGGCTTTTTTCACATCCTCTGGGGGAAGATGCTCCCTACCTTGGTCCTGTAGGACTGGCAGGTCTGCTCCCTGTACTGTTTTCCCTTCCGATGAGGACTTCCAATGTAAAAATCTTGTGAAGTTAGGGATCACATATGAGAGTACTTGAAAAAGTTCATGGACAGATTTGTATTGTCTTTTAATTCTATTTTTCCACAAACTTTTTGAAATACTCTCATATTATTCAGGTGTATATCCTCAACACTGAGGCACACGCTTGGCAGAGAGCATACGCTCAGTGAATGTATTTTAAATTCATGAAAAAGTAGCTATTCTCTCAGGGGCTGAAAAACTGCCCCATAACCTGTAAGCAGTATCCTATAGACCACATGCAAACATCCCAGATAACTAGCACAAGTTCAAGTTGCCTTCAATTACCAAGTACCATCTAGATTCCCCTGACTATATTCTATCCACTTGACCGGACCTTGCCTACATTTTGTTATGTCTTTTGGAAGGAGGGTTTCAATTGCCTGGCTATGCCTCTGATGGAAAATATAAACAGTTTAAATCAATAGTCCTCTTGGTAAATAAATTGACATAGAATTATATAAAGAAACTTACTTGATAAATTTATGTGGGTCTTTGGTTAACTGTAGGCTGTTATCTTCCACTGTAAAAAAAAAAATATATATATATATATATATAATATGTACACACATACACACGCACACATGAAAGGATTCTGGTTTACTTGGAGATTTAATTGTTTTATGCATACTCTTTCCAAAGCCTCAATGGAATGATAATAAAGGAATAAAAATAAGGTATAAAACCTCAAGGAGAGCAATAGAAAGATGATGAGGAAAATTTTCAAGATGGAAAGCAGATGTCAAGTGGTAACTGTCTCAGCGGGCCATAGAAATTTGAAACCTAACTGCATGATAAGGGGAGGCTGACAAAAAGCAAGCAGATTTGCACTTCGGAACCTGAGAAACAGTTCAGGAGTGAAAAGTACCAGATATCTCTGAAAGGAGGGATGAGAGGTGGAGCACAGACACCAAGTACTTATACCCTCGTCCTGTGTGACCACATGATCATCATGACAGGCAGGAGGAAGATGTTTAATCTCTAGAGATATTGGGCCAGAGAGACTCAGGACTGGAGGATATGAGGCACAAAACAGGGACTAGAAACAGGGAATAAATCAACTAAATCATAGCAATTAGACAAGATATCTGACTCTCTTCCTCTGTCCAGCTCTTAGAGTGTAAGCATCTCTCTCTCTCCTCTCAGGAGACGTATACTGTCAAGCCTGATGCAATAGTTATTCTCACTGAATAATCCTATAACAAAGGGGAAAAAAACAAAAAAACCTGTCAACAAGCCCTGTGTGTATTCAGAACTTCTAATCTTTTTAATAAATCATTCATCATATGTCCATCATATGAATGGATAGTCAAAGATCACTAGACATTTGAGCAAAGTCAATATTATGAAAGACAACAACCCAAATAAATAAGGAGAAAAGTAGGAAACAGAAGCATATTTTTCTGGAAATCTCCCAGAATATACAACAAAAAACAGTGAGATGAATAATAGAAAACTGGTTTTAAAAATTAGAAAATCAGATCAGTAGATCCAACATCCAAATCATAGAAGATCTAAAAGAGGTAACAAGGAAAATGAAGGGGGAAGAAATAAGAAATCATGTAAGAAAATTTCCCAGAACTGAAGGATTAGAGTTTGAGATTTCAATGGCTGATTAAATGCCCTACATGATGAGTGAAGGGGAAAAAACAAACAAACAAAAAATACACCAAGAAACATTATCAAAGGGTTGACCGGTTAGCTCAGTTGGTTAGAGAACAGCCTGGATCCCCACACCAGCAAGCTGCCAAAAAAAAAAAAAAAAAAAGAAAGGAATTAAAAGAAACATTATCAAGACATTTCAGGTCACTGGAAATAAAGATTTTAAAAGCTTTCAGAAAGAAAGAATATGTCACATGTGAAGAATTCATCATTTGGGGCCGGCCCGGTGGCGCACTGGAGAGTGCGCCGCTTGGGAGTGCGGTGGCGCTCCCGCCGAGGGTTCGGATCCCATGTGGAGACCGGTTCCTGCTCACTGGCTCAGCGCGGTGCAGGCACAACACCGAGGGTTGCGATCCCGTTACCGGTCAGTAAAAAAGACAAAAAAGGAAAAAAAAAAAAAAAAAGAATTCATCATTTGAATGAAATCAGACTTCTCAAAAGAAGCACTAGAAACTAGAAGGTAATATAGTCTTTAAATTTAACCAAACTATGAGCATATTAGAGTAGAATAATTACTTTTTTTTTTTTTTGGCAGTTGGCTAGTAAGGGGATCTGAACCCTCAACCTTGGTATTATCAGCACCACGCTGTAACCAAGAATAATTACATTTTTAGGCATGCAAAGTCACAGAAGATTTAGCTCCCATGTACTATATAGCTCCTAGAAGAGATGCCCTAATGAAACGAAGGAGCAAACCAACCATGAGGAAAATGAGGGATCACGCAGGAGCTCCAACCCAGGAGGCAGCCCAAAGGGTCTCCAATGAAGGAGGATGGAGTGCCAGAGGTAAAAAGTCTCCAAGGGGAAAAAAATGAAACATTGAATATCCAGGAGTTGTTCCATGGCTTTGTCAAAAAGTTTAGGAGAAGAATAGATGGTAGATATATATATAAAAATAAGGGAATGAAAAACTAGGCCATTTGTACAAGAAAAGAAAGATAATTATTCATGGCTTATCTGTGATGAATATTTTGAAGTTATATTAATGTAACCAAACTATATTAGGAGGATAGGGGAGAGAAAATGTGGGTGGGAGTGGCAGTATAAGAGCTTAAATCTTTGCATTTTATAAGATAAAGACTAAAAGTAATATCTAACACTGAATATCCCAGAAATGTAAGTATAGAATAAGCTTAGAAATATAGTGGTAAATGTCAGAAGAATTAGCTGAAGGTGTTGAAAGCTGTTGTTACCTCTGCGGGGCAGCACTCAGGGATAGAAGATAGCTTCTTAGGTCTCCTGTATTTCATTAAAAACTAATTCCTAGTATTTGTCCTTTAAAGCTATAAACATATATTTCTTCGACAGAAAATAAATTCTTAACATTATTAGTTAAAACTACCAACTTAGAGATTTTGCTAAAAAAACTACTGGACTATCTGATGCAATGAAATATAAATAGGAAAAAAGAGGTATGTAACCCTAGCAAATAGACCCATACAGTACCATCTCATTAAACTCAGGTTTCCCATATCTTATGACATCTGTAAGTAACAGGATATCTGTAACAGTACTGTAATCATGAACAACAAAACTGGTTCTGAATGATTGTGCTAAAGCTCATGTTCTTTAACAAATAAGCAATGCTACTGGACTAAATTTGTTTTTCCTCTGAATTCCAGAAAGTAATATTTCCCAGCAGAAGGGATATTCCTACATCTAACCAAAAAATGTATTCACTCTAAAAAGAAAAAAAACAGAACTGAAGTCCTATGAGACATCACCTGCTTTGCTGTAGATAATTTTCTTTCTCTATTGTTAAGAGGATTTAAAAAAAAAGACCTATTTGGGAACTTGAATTGGAGAAGATTCAAATGCTTATTACATTTTTCTAACCACAAGCAGAACAGGATGTATTTATACAATTATCAGGTTCTTAAAAAGTATATAATACAAATTAGTATTATAATCTCACTAATACTTCTATAATTCCCCTCTACTCTAGTATTCTGACTCATCTGCCAGTTATTATATTATAGTATATTTAGATAAGTATCTGAAATTTATTAGGATGACCCTACTATATTAATCAAAAGCCATAGGAAAATATCTGGCTAAGAAAAAAATCATTACCTCATGCTTAGCTACAATTACTCAGTTTTACTATTTCTACACTCTTGTATTTTCCTTCAACCAAAGATTTTAAAAATTATATGAATCTTGTCTTTTAAAATATCAAAACAACCATGGTAAACAGAAGATAAATATTATTTGACCATGTAACTACATAGAAATCAAAATTCACAAGAACAAACAAATAAAAAAGACATATAGCTAACTCATTTGAAATCCCTTTGTAATAAATTAGAAAATATGTAGTAATACTCACAATATAGGAGTCAAACAGTTGTTATGCATTGTCTCCTTCCAGACCCTTCCTCCTTCGAGTTATCACAAACTAACTGATGTGTATGTTAGGAGGAAATTGAAAACCCCCCTGTCTAACTCCCAACACCAGGAAAAAATTGATAAAGGGCCACAAAAAAATGATTACATTGTATGATATTGAATATACTAATTATCCTGATTTGAGCATCACATTGCACACAGGTATTGACATGCAAAGCTGTATCCCACAGATATGTAAAATCATGTTTCAATTAAAAAAAAAAGAGCTCTTTGACAACATCCCTAAAATATGGTCATTTAATGCTACTAAATAAATATTAATTATAAAAGAATACCTTTAGTGATAGGGAGTTTACTACCTGCCATCCTGGCCTTGTCCATTCTGTGGAGCAACTTAAATTGTTAGAAAATCCTTCCTCATATTTGGCCTGCTGGGACCTGGATAGATGTTACCATTAAGGATGCTGCAATTATAGTAGCATTTGCTTCTAGGGAAGATTAGTTAGGCACTCAATTGACTATGTAATTTATCGCCCAAACCATTACACTGCAAGTTAAAGTGGGTACTAGAGATAATTATACCAGGACTGTCCCAGGAAGTCTGGGGTATATGAGTACCCTAGTTATAGGTAAGGGAGACAGAAGCCAAGCTGCAAGGAAAGGAAGCTGTGAGTACACAGGAAGGTCATCAGACCTTCACCAATTGGGTTTGAGCTCAGAGCTCGGTGTCCCCTTGTGAATACACCAAGTCAAAGACCTAGTTGATCAGGCTAGGCAGACATAACAGATATTAGGAAAAAGTTTGGGGAATGAGGGGTATTTGCATATCTCCATATCAAATACGGGGCTTAGGATAGGAAAATTAATTCCACATAACTGATTTTTTTGGGAAAAAAAATAACCAGTTTATTCAGGATATGTCCTGACACAAGGCAGGACCAAGCCTGCATGTTCTGGACTTGAGTGGCTACCACCTAGCAGGCCTGGGAAGGTATGACTGACTTGTAGCTTCGATGTTAGTCCTACTTTAATTCTCTGGAGGCACACAGAAGAAATCTCCCTTTTCTGTAAGGAATCCCTTCAAATGTTTGAAAACAGCTTTTACAACTGCCTTTTATCTTTTCTTTGATTGGCTAAACATACAGTTTCTTCAGCCACAGGAAATGTGATGATCCAAGTTATGCATACTGGTATTCCAGATGGAGGCCCACCAAACCAGAGCAGGGTAAAGTTATGACATGGCACATGCTTAGTAGCAGAAGGGTACTTTCTATTGTTGGTTCACATTATGTTTGCGATCAAATAGCTGCCCCAAGAACTTTGTCATAGAATAAAGTTCTGCTATCAACTCAGGTCGTTTCCATTCTGTACTTGCAAATTTTGATTTTTTATTTTATCCCAAATGAGTGAGTTTACATTCATCCCATTAAACTTGGAGGCACAGTGGAACTGCAAATGCCTGGGTTAAAGCACTGCCCCTGTGGCCTCAGGCTGATCACTTCATCACTGAGCCTTGCCTTCCTCACTGAGGAAGAGGCTGCCAGAATCAGATGATTAAATGTGTGTGAAAGTACTAAGTAAGCCATGAAGTAAAATCAGGATCTAAGTTTATTTTTTCACACATTCATTCTACAAATTTTCATTCAATACCCATTGTCAGGTACTACACTGGGCACTGCGGATATAGTTCTAGCCTATCACTAATGTCTACAGGAATGATACAATTAGCTGTCTCAAGTTTCTTATTTATACAATTAACTATTTGTTCCAGTTTTGTGTTATCTAAAAATTTGATAATAATTCCTTCTGTGTTTTTCCTAGATCTCTTTATTAATATTTTAAATAATATGAGAAAAGATTCTTGTAGTACTCTAGTAGAGACCTTTCCCCAAGTGGTTACAAGTGATTAATTGTCACTGGGTGCAGTTTTTCATACAAAGCCACACAGAAGTACTATACTGCCATCTAATATAGGGGATACCAGTTTTCTGCCACCTCCTCATTTCAGATACATAGCAACTGTCTCTGCTGTATCATGGCACTGTTTCCCTGTGAAGCTACTGGAAATCATTCTCTTCATGGTACCCTAAGCTACCAGTATCAGTCCACCCAAGATGGCAAGCAAGCTGATATCTATTTACTGTCTTAGATTTCCACATATTTCACCAACACGACTAAAATAATATAGAAGAAAACCTGCCAAAGTACTATTTGCTTTGTCGCTCATTTGCTGGGTGGTTTAACAATTTGGGCAGCTTTTATGTCATATGTGATGACAAAGCTGGAGATTGGAAAGGAGTGAAGGGTGATGTCAACTTGCGGAGGACAAAAGAAAGGGCTGACTTTTCTCCAGGTTTCTCATCCTTTCTGCAGGGCAAAAACAAAATCTATTGCCCAGAATCATTTACTGCAGAAAATTCTTAAAACTAGTTTTAAAAATTGCTATTCACCAGAATATGGATATAGCTTGTTACAGAGATTTCTCTGTAATCATAGTACTATAGAACTCAACAAAAGGTTAAGTGATACTGACTATTCATTCATTCCACAAATATTTACTGTCGGTACTATTCTAAGTGCAGAGGATAGACCAGTGAGTGCTACGACATTTTGGTAAACCAGAAATGGGGTCAGAGTGAAGCAGTACCACTCTTCTGTGCATAAACCAGCCTTAAAACTGTCAGGGAATGTTTGAGGAACTCTGAGACAATCAAGTACTGACTATTCATTCATTCCACAAATATTTACTGTCGGTACTATTCTAAGTGCAGAGGATAGACCAGTGAGTGCTACAACATTTTGGTAAACCAGAAATGGGGTCAGAGCGAAGCAGTACCACTCCTCTGTGCATAAACCAGCCTTAAAACTGTCAGGGAATGTTTGAGGAACTCTGAGACAATCAAGACATGTTTTGAGATACTGGAAAAGATGCCTGATCAATACTGCTTAATTTACATCACATCCAAAAGCCCTGTGGATGAGGAACAATTGAACTTGGTCACAATTGTGCAGACCTAGCTAATGGACTGGAGGGTTCTACAAGTGGGCTGGAAAAAGAGACAATGGAAATCTAAGAGAAAAAACACCATAAGAGATCAAGGCCTGCTGATTGGTGAGGTGATGATGCAAGCCACTGTGCAAGATTGCTGTGGGCTACTAGAATAGGGAGGGACAGGATACAAAGGAAAGAACTATGTCACTGGGGGCCCAGCTCTCACCTCTGGGAAACCCCTCTGGCACAGGGAGCCAAAAGCATTGCTCTGCTAACTGAAGAGAGAGCACAGGAGCAATGGAGGCAATAGAGTTAAGAGTCACAAAAAAGCCTCTGGCAGGATACTAAGGGTATCAGGAAAAAACACCAGTCAATACAGTAGAAAGAACTTCAGGCACCATTTCCACACGGACTCTTGGAAGGAACACCTAGAGAGGAAAGTCTCCAGAAAAAAATATCGAATGTCTCACTAGTCAAAAGAACAAAGGGAAGC